ATGACCCTGAACATTTACAGGATGTTTGGCTCAACCTGCGGCTGTGAAGCAGGATTCTCCACCATAAACAGAATCAAAAATAAATATGGATCCAGGCTCCAATGCTCTCATTAAGCCATAAAAAAGAAAGAAAAAAACTAATGGTCAGTTCAGTTGATAAAATATGTGAATCAGGAAATTGTCAATATACCAAACATTTTTTTTTATCTAAAAAGTCAAAGTATAACATATAGGCATAAAAAAACTCATTTTATTTCAGTGTTAAATTTGGTTTTAAGTAACAGATTATAATTAAAATGCCTCTGGACCTTTACTGGTTGATGATTTACTTCATTTGGACCCCGCTGATTTTTATTGGTTACCCCTGCTCTAAACTAAAATACTGAATATTTGCACCATGCACATTTGTCTTGAAATGCTTCCTTCCATATCATTGTGTTTTGCAAGGAAGCATTTGTCTTGAAATGCATTTAATCACTGCTGCACTTTATGAAATGGAAACGTTCATGTCACCGCTAAGCTGCTGCTCATTTACTATTAAAAAGCTCACTGTATTACTGATTTACTGGTTACCCCTGGTCTAGTGGATGAACATGTAGTTGACTCGAAATTTCCCACAATGCACCTTGAATGTTACTAAATGTCAATGTCACTAGACAAGCAGATATATCCCAAGTTGATATGCAAGCGCTCTTCTTGCAAAGCATCATGGGATTTGTTCTGACAGACCTGCTGTCAGGTATTGACAATGGCGACAAATGAAGATGGTGCATGCACCATGCGGTGTGGCGGAGTCACGTGACCAACGGCGAGGGAAAAGGAGTGATCATCTGTCCGAATGGTCAGTTAACCGAGTTCACTATAAAGTCCACTATATAGTCCCCGCTCTGTATAGTGATTGAGGGATTTGGGGCGGACATTTGGACACAGCCACAGTTATTTATGGGGAAAACCACAGAGTGAAACCAGGATCAGGTCTAAAGCTGTTTCTGGGTCAAACACATTAACAGAAGAACCTCCATGTTCTTCCTCTGTTAATAAATATTAGAAAACATAAAGACTCACCGGTCGCTGAGGTCTGAAGAACTCCTTAAAGATCCACGTCCTCCTGAAATAAAACGTTTAAAGAACTTTAAACCGACTTCAAAAGCAAAGCACCAATCAATCAGGCAGGCATCAGAGAGGCTTTGACCAGCAGCTCAAAAAAATCTAAAAATAAACCTGAACCCTTCAACTAACAGCACTGAATCTAGTTTATAAACAAATCATTTAAAAACGGGGAGGAATCTGTTTAAATCAGTACTGATGGTTCAGACCTCAAAGAACCAGAAACTGATTGATTTCCTTTCAAAAAGTATAAAACTCCAGCAGCTGCTGCGTTGCAGCGTGTCCCGCGCATCAGATGCTACGAAGCTCACGACGCACTGCTTTAGCTGCTAAAAACGCGCTGCAGGACGTTTTGCTGCACAATGATGCACGTCAAACATTGACTTTGCATGTAAACTAGCTGCTCCTGCTGCCTCTGCTGCTTTAGATTTGCTGTGATCAGCTGGTGAAAAGTAGTTTTAATATATTTTAACCGAGAAAGTCCACCTAAAACTTCTGTGCAGTCAGTTCAAGATAACCATCCTGCCTTCAAATATTATTTCGCTGTCTGAGTCGCTCAGACCCCCACATACCGGGGTTGCTCTGTCACTGGGAATCCTGAGCAGCAGCTGTCTCTCTGCCAGTCGCCTTTTGGGGTTTTCAAATACTATTCATAAAGTAAACATAATTTGCCAGCAGGTTTCGACAATTTAAGTTAATTTAGGCGTTAATAAACAGTTTCAGGCAGGCTTTTAGCTAGTATTGGGTACGGCCAAGCATTGTATGCCCTTTACTTAAAAAATTTTTAAAATTGTACGTCCTATTTTTCCCCTGGAAACTTCAACATTTCACAAGCAGCAGCTGCTGGAGTTAGAAAACTTAACTTGTACTGCGCTAAGCGTTACATCAACCAATCAGAGAAGCTGATCTGGGAGCTGGCAGGGAGACAGACACAGCACTGCTGATGCAGAGCACTATGATCACTCTACTGAAACAGTTTATTAACTCCTAAATTAACTTCAATATGTCGACACCTGCCGGCAAAATATGCTCATTTTTATTATTCTCGTGCCTGCAGTTTCTAACACATACCGGTACATGAAAAACGCTAACAGTAGGGGAAAACAGCATGGAAACATAACATTGTACCTAAAATGATCTGTTGTCTTCCTTATGGAATTTCCACCTCTAGTCAAGCACACATACTTCCCATAACCAGGACAAAAGTAGTGTTGGAACAAGGAAAGAAGTTAGCTGCATTCCACCTCTAAATGCAGGAAATAGCATTTCAGAGGGAGGGTACTCCCAGACCCCCACAGGCCACGCAAAGCCTAAAGATGTGATACACCAAGGTGCACACCCTAGGAAATATTCCTAGCTATAAGCCTGTTTTCAGATGAGTTATCATAGAGATCTGCATTAGCAGTGCTGTGTCTGTTTCCCTTGAGTAGAAAACAATGGATTGCCGATCAGATCAGATTAGGACTGAACAACTGTAGAGTCTCAGTTCAGAATAATCCACTTTAGCTGTTCAGTGTTAGGGCCAGGTTAGAGATATTTTCTTATTTTTTATTTTGAGAATAAAGTCGTAAAATTCCAAGAATTACTTTTAACATAATCTTACGACTATTCTCATAAATTTGTGACTTTATTCTCCTAATTTTACAACTTTATGCTCTTAATTTTATGACTTTATTCTCGGAATTTTACGACTTTATTGTCAAAATTTTATGACTATTCTCATTGCAACTTTATTCTCGTAATTTTTCAAATTTATTCTCGAAATAGAAGAAAAGAAAATCTCTAGTCTGACCCTAATACTCCGTCATAGTATTCAGCACTAATTCAAAATAAATAAAAAATCTCCAAACTGGATTTTAAATATTTTATCTCTAAAGAATAATCCAGTTCAGGTTTGAATTAACAAAATTTGTTTTTACAAAACAACAATAAAGTTTGTCCAAGTAGAATTAGACCATTTAATAAATAAGCTGTTTTTTTAGCCATGTTTTTAAAGTCGTTATTCTGACCTACTGGGGGAATAAATTTGATCTGAGGTGACGTCCAGAAGCTCAGCGGGAATAAAATAATCATCGTCTAATCAGGAAGAAGCTGATTACTGAAATATTTTTCATTGGGAGCTCTGATTGGTCATAATGACTTTTTGTTTCACATTTGTGGAATTAATGCTAAACTAAGATTTTTGTGCTGCACAGCAACAGAAGAAACATTTGTGATTTGAAGTTTCAGGAAATCAGAAACAGTAAAAGCAGACGACATTTTTCTTCTAACATCATGTCATTAAAAATAAGTGCTGCTCAGATTTCAAGGCTTTTTTAAGACGCATACTGTAACCTTGATCTTACCAGAAGGACGAGCCTCAGACTCCTCACAGATTCTAGTTTGGTCGATTAAAAAGCAAAACAACAAAAAAACAAATGATTGAATCTCTATAAATGCGCTTCTATTTAAGGTTTTTATTTGTGTCAGTTTGCATCGGTAATCCGAAACTGTGTTGCATTCAATATCTTTCTTATTTATTGGTAACCAAGGTTACCATCACACACTTATGTGAAGAGACTTAGAGGTTGAAATCCTTCCCAACGGCTAATTAACAACCAGCTGTTTCTTCATTAAAACAGGTCAAACCTCTAACAAATGCTTTGAACACCTAGAGCTGATTTAAATTTACCTAAACAGACTAAAATTGTGTTTATGAAGAAATCTATGAGTTTTATATAATTCACAGGTTTAGTTTGTCAGATATAAGAGTTTAAAACTCCTGTTAAACTGTCCATGATATCAAAAGTTAAATTACTAATCAGATTTTAATTCATTCATACCTTTTTTTTCCCAACTCTTTTGATAACATTAAATCAAGTTTATAAACTGTTTTATTCATACATTTACCAATCAATTCTAACACGTCTTTTTGGTATTTTAGATGATGTTTCTTTTTTATACACAGTCTGCAGGTGTTTTAATTACTCCTTTTTTTTCAACTTTTTTTTATCTATACCCAAAAGAACAGTTTATACTTTACCTTTATTTACTAAACTCACACACACAGATCTAGATGTTTTATTGACATTATTCAAGTTTCCTAGATAAAAATATTCCTCATTTTAGGGAAGAAAGTGCTTCTAGTAGGAGTTGTCATAAAATACAACTTGTTTCTTGTAATTTTATGTACTTTATTCTCTTAATATTAAAGCTTTATTCTCGTAATTTTACGACTTTATTCTCGTAGTTTTACGACTTCATTCTTGCAAGTTTATGACTTTATTCTTGTAACTTTATGACTTTCCTCGTTGCGACTTTATTCTCATAATTTTACAACTTTATTCTTGTTATTTTATGATTTTATTCTCGTAACTTTATGACTTTATTCTTGCAATTTGTACAACTTTAGTCTCGTAAATTTACAATTTTTGTTCTCGTAACTTTATGACTTTTCTCGTTGTGACTTTATTCTCATCATTTTATGACGTACTCCGTGTAATTTTACAACTTTATTCTGGTTATTTTATTACTTAAATCTTCTAATTTTACGACTTTATTCTCCTAAATTTATGACTATTCATTTCAGTGTGGTGAACAGCTAGGATTTAGTAAACATACTTCAAACCTTTATTCAATATAAACTGGGATGAGATCCATTTATTAGTGTATAAACCAGTGGGGCAATAAATGAACAGGGCATGTCAAAAGTATAACTTTAGCTATTTATATGTCAAATTGTCAAATATTTTTGTTTATATATTATTTCCTGACATATTTCTTCAAAAATGTGCACATAAAAATGAAGATGACCAATAATCTCGGAGTTTATTTAAAACTGCTAATATATGTCCGTTATTTCAGCATTGATTATTAAGTGAAAAGCAAAGAAAGATGGTTTATTGAGCAACAAATTGTCGAAGTTCTTCAACTGCAGGTCGTTTTTAAGAAAAATGTATCTACAAATATGAAAAAATATACATAAAACAGGTTTAAATCAGTGTTTACCGTCATTTGGGGGCGATTAAATGAGCTAATCTCCGGCTGTAGAACTCCAGCTCCGATTAGCAGGGCTAACTCATTAGCGTCTGGTGCGCAAGGTTCCGTGAGCAGTTCAGGAAAATCGGAAACCAAAGTTTTCTTACAGTAGCTGCTCAATGGTTATAAGGGAAGTTGTGCTGAAAATTGAAATAGCCCATCAAACAGTTAATATAATTTAATTTAATTAAAAGAAAGAAAGAAAGAAAGAAAGAAAGAAAGAAAGAAAGAAAGAAAGAAAGAAAGAAAGAAAGAAAGAAAGAAAGAAAGAAAGAAGTGTTCTTTTTCTAGATGTTTGTTAGTTTGCATAGTTGCTCTTAGATAAACATTCTTAGAAAATAAATAGTTTTTACATATTAGAAATCTGACAAATAGCTTCTCCATTATTAAACTGGAACATTATTTTTTAAGGTTCATTAAAAACAACACTGGACCATGCAAAACACAGGCTTACCTTCAAAAAGCCTCATAAGGGCGAGATTTATGTACAAAAAGCAAACTTGTATATGAAATTCTGTTTTGTTTTTATAATCTTTTTGTTGTTGGCATTCATATAAATATACTGGTGTGATAAGTTAGTATAGGTTTGATTGGCTTTGGGTATATTTTGAATTTATAGCCCCCGACTGGAGAAAACTCCACCAGTCACCACTGCCATCAAATGTTTTCAGAAGCTTTTGGGGATTAGTGTATTTAAACCTGGGCTGCTGTATTTCATCAGGATTATGAAAGCATGTTGACAAAACAGCTTATAACACTATTCAACAAAGACCAGACAGTGTAGGATCTATACCAAGTTTAGACATAATGACAGAATTCGATTTCATGGGCTGCATCCTCCAAGGACGCCGTCTAACTGGACTGGATCTTTTGAGGTCCGTGAATATAAGGAGGCCGGAAGAGTTTTTGGCTGTGAATTTAAACAGGTCCAACCTTCAGCAATGCACGCTCTGTCGCTTAGCAACGATTGACACAAAAAACAGGAAAAGCATGAAAACTAAAATTTTCAAACCTGTTTATTTTTTTATATGTTTTCCTTTTTTTTTATATGTTGTAAAGTGTAAAGACTACACTCACGAGAATCAAGAGTGGAATAAAGGTGACAACCACCGGGAGCATGAACAGATAAAAGCAAATGTAATGATATAAAAAGGGTAGAAAGATATAAATAAATCAAAAAAATGTATGTAAAAAAAAAAAGTATATCTGCAAAATCTCTTAAAATCCACAACAAAAAATACTTAGTTAAGCAAATTGTGCAAAATAGCAATTAAAAAATATAAATCATATTACAGTCCCCACACTGCAAATAGAATCTGTCCTTAAATTACAGCCAAACCTATTTAAACAGTAACAGATAACAATCTTTAGATAAATCAAACATTACCGCCACATATCTGACTCAATAACTATTAAAACAACTATTTTCATTCATTTCAGACAGAACTTTTCACCTACTTGGATTATATTAAACTGCACTTCCAATTTTCACCACTGTTCGGCGCCAAGTACCTTTTCCCTGTGATCACGGAGCAGCCGGCTTGCTTGGTCTCGAGAATCCTGGGAAAACCAAGGATGGAGAGGATACACTGTATAGACTTAGAAAGGGGTCGAAATGTTTGTAAACTCATAAATCTTAGTTGAAAGAGAAAAAATTAAAATTGAAACAGAAAAATATAAGTTGATATTGAATGTCAAATTTTTACCTTATAATGTGAGAAACTACAAAATCAAACATAAAATAATGAAAATTGAATCTAAATTCTTCACCTCAGCTTGAAAAATAACTCATAATTCAGTTTGAAATGTTAATTAAACTTTTTATTTTTTTTTATTTATGTTCTTTATTACAGTTTTAGATTTTATGTCTTTTCATTTCACTGCTAAGTTTCTGCTCATTTACTGTCTGAAAGCTGTAAGAAAACAAAATTCCGTTTTGTATAAAAAAATGACAATAAAAGTTGCCTTCTGCAAGCTGTCAATCACGCTTCCCCGCTTATTCCCGTCAGATTGGGGTCAAAATCGGAAGGTGAAAATAACTGATTTGAAAGTACTTAAAAAAAATCCTGAAACTGAAAAAGCAATTTGAAACAAAAAAAAAAGAAAGTAAAAGAAATGGATTTGAATCTGAAAATCGAAAAACTGCAATAAAGAAAAAAAAAAAAAATGTATATTTAAAGCACTAAACAGAATTTAGAAAATTTGACATTAGATGTCAACTTCTATTTTTTCAGTTTTAACTAAGATTTAGAAGTTTACAAACTTTCTGATCCCTTTCTGACCCCATAACACCAGACTCATACTTCAAATCAGGCAAAAAGAAGGCTGCATTTATAGGCCGCAGAACGAGGACTCCTCAAATTCGACCAGACCTCGGCGCAGCACTATGACGTTATCGTCCTTCGGAGGACGCAGGCCCTGAATTTGAATTCAATCTCACTCTGTTTTAAGGTAGGACTGCTCATCAAACATCACTTTCCCCCTGGCAGGTGGCATGCTGCTGGTGATGACGGGCATCGCACCGAGCCTATCAGAGGGCAGGCAACAGATTGACCTCGCTGTGACTGGTGGAGCCGCCTTGTCCAAGTTCAAGGCCATGATGACGGCTCAGGGCGTGACCAATGAGACCGCTCGGAGGCTGTGCTCCGCCCACACAGATTACTTCAGCATCCTGAGAAAATCAGAGCATCAGCTGGAACTGGAGACTCCTGCAGATGGTAAAACACGATGAGCACTGATCACAGGATTACACAAAAATACATAAATACATTAAAACCTCAGCATTTCCAAAAGGTCCCTGAACCTTTAAACGGGATGGGAGGAGTAGCAGCAAAACTAATTTCCTCACTAATTCCATAATGCATGTGGCCACTGACTTTATGCCTCAGCTTTTGTCTTGATCCCTTCTTCCAGGAGTTGTTGTTGGTGTGGATGGTTTGGTTTTGGCTCAGGTTCTTCATAAACTGGGGGCGGGGCGATCCAGAGCAGGGGAGCCTGTCAATCACAGCATAGGGGCGGAGCTTCTGGTGTCCCCTGGTCAGAGAGTGCTGAAAGGTGAGACACTGATTAAAGTCCACAAACTGTTTATTGCCTCATTAATTAGTTTTTATTTTTATTTTTAGGTGCATCCTGGTTGCGGCTTCATTACGAGGATCCGGCTCCAACTCCAGATCAGATCCAACTGCTACAGGAAGCTCTGACTGTGGATGAAAAGGACAAAGAAGCAGGACAAGGACATCCTTTAGTAGCAGATGTGCTGCTGCCTCAATGAAACTAGATCCAGCTTTATTTGTTGTTTTCTGATCCGGAAATAATTTTAACTATCTTTACAAAACTGTAATATTGTGTCAGAATATATTGATGCATTTATGTTTACAACAAAAACAGCAGTTCAACAACCTTCAGATATTAATTTAACAAAAATCTTTAATGTACAAATAATATAAGAAATTAAGGATCTTATAACAGAGGTCTTCATAAATTAATTTCACTTATAAAAAAATGTTTTAAGCAGGGGTGGATTTAGGAAATTTGGGGCCCTGGCAAAGGCCCTCATGGGGCCCTCTGAATTGAAAAGACATCACATAAAGCCGGGCTCCACTGTATGAATATTTGCCATTTTTGGCCGACTTTCCAGTCGTGCAAGAAGTTTTCATTGGGGCCGACTTTCAGCCTAATGGTGCAACGTGTAGTGTACAGGGGGTAACGAGGGGCGATCACCTCGCGATCAGGAATCGTGAGGTCGGGAAAAAATTAAACATGTTTGAAATTCAGACGGCCGTCGTGGGCAAATTGCTCAGTGCGCAAACAAGGATTCTTCTTCTTCTTCTTCCTCTCAGATGAAAACACAGAAGCATGGCGGGGGTGTGAGTGAAATGTACTTCTTTCTGTAAAACTGACAGGCCTTAGTTGCCATGTTTGCTCAGCCATGTCTCTGTCCAAATAGCACACCTGACATTTCATGCTTTCTCAAAAGGAATGAAAGATTTTTCTCCTTCCTGTGTTTCCAAAAAGGCGACGGCAAAAGTAAATAACCCAGTCCTTCTTTTCACTGTAGACAAGCCATGATCTGCTTATTTGTTCTCTATTTTTCATTAGTATGACATAAGAGCTGCATGAATCATGACAGCAGACAAGATAGAGGAGAGCAGGAGGCGGGGTTATGAATCTACTTGCTCTGGAGAGCAGAGTTCGCTGCTTTTAGATATTATCACCAAACAGAGCATTAGGGAAATAGTTTTTATCAAAAACATAATTAATGAGCACAAATAAGTAATAGTTGTATTAACTATACATGTAAAAGGAGTTTTATGGGTCCCCAGGAGTGTGGGGCCCAAGGAAACTGCCTAGTTTTGCCTAACACTAAATCCCCTCTGATTTTCATGAACCCCTTTGGAAGAGGCTGTTCTTTCAATACGTTTAGAATACTGTATTTTTTGGTGTCTGGCGCCCTCTGCTGGACATTTAGGCGGTACACAGCATGTAGAGAAAATAATAAATTAGTTTGAATTCCCTTTCTGATACGCTGATCCGTGGTTTCATTGAACAAAACAAATTTGTAAAAAAAAAAAAAAAAGGGTGTTATACAGGAAAATAGAAGGAAAGTTTTTCAGTGAGTTTATTGATCGCATTAATTTCATATTTGCAACATTTGAAGAACGGTTCTTTGTTTTTTACCTCACTGCGACACAATATACCTTTTCTCTACCAGTGGGATATGTACATTTTAATAAGGTGCTTCCATGCTTTAATTAGGAAAAACAAAAACAAAAGATTAAATCCTTTAAATGGTTTTGATGAAATAACTGATGTTACTCTATTATGAAGATCACCTCTGCAGTGAAAAGTGTACTTATATTTTTAAAAATAGATGGATTGGATCAATGCAATTTGTTACAATTCAAAATATAGTTATGGAATTATTTTCTACATAAACATAATTGTTGTCATTGTTTAGCCTGTGGAATAAAAAAACAACTAGATCTTCACTTTAAAAAAAATGAAGAAAGAAGAACAAAGTGTGTTTCTAAGAGACAAGTTTTGATTTTTTGTTGTAATTTTTAATCAGTATTTTATGGTTGTCGGTTCATTATTGTAACAAATTAACTTTTATCTGGCTTGTTTATGTTTTGACTTAATTAAATGACTTCAGAGCACTAAACAAGCTCATCAGGAAGGTTTGTTTATCAGGGCCCCTAATTGTTTGTTACAAAATTTACCCTTTTTTTTAAATGCCAAAAATGGGTCTGGAATTGTTTTATTTTCTTTGGTTAGAAATTTGCAAATATCATCTCAGCCTCTAAGCCCACTGTTGAAACCAGTTCTTTCTAAATCTTAGACCATTAAACTCATCAATTTCATATCCTGGACTAATTGAAAAATTAATGCAGTTTTCTCTTTGTCTTTATTGGGAGTGTAAAAGCAGCCCTAGTTCTTCAACTGTCTGTTGCAGACCCAGATCCAATTCAGCTCAACAAGGACCTAGATTATTCTGAAGACAAAACAAGTAATAAACTGAACCTTTGATCATTTCTGAATTGCAGTATATTAAGCCAGATTAATAGATCAGAATATTCATCCTTCAGTTAAAGTAGGACACAGTGTGGACATTTTTGTTCATATTGTACCACTTCCATAATTTCTATGAAGTTTATTTCTTCTGTTCAACTAATTATTAGTCTTTTATTTTTGGCTGTCATTTAAGCTCATTTTTTTCCATGATAAATATATACATTTTTCTTATTTACTGACATTTACTCTAATTTATCTGAAAGACAAGTGATTTTACATTTTCTCTTAGTTTCTGATCTTCCGGTTTATGTGTCTTTAAACAGCTGCTAACGTGTTTGTAAAACCAGAATACGCTGGATTATTACATTTTGTTTTCCTTTATCAATGTGCAGATCATATTCTGATGACCAAACTGTGTAAAACGGGGGGAGGATACGCAAAGGTGCTTTTTTCATTACTCTTAGACATCAAAATGATATGTAAAATATCTGCAGAAACTGCTGAGAGGTTTGGCCCAAATGTAAACATATGTGGACCGTCAAAAATAACAGTAGAATATTAATAAAGAAAAAAAATCATCAGCAGGCAGCAGAGGTTGTGCAGCTGGAGGGGAGAAGATCTTTATAGTTAAACCAAATCTAAAAACAATGAATGAACTCACTAATTGTGGCATG